AGGTGCAGGACCTTGCACTTGGCCTTGTTGAACCTCATGAGGTTCACACAGGCCCACCTCTCCAGGTCTCTCTGGATGACATCCCATCCTTCTGGTGTGTCAACCGCACCACTCAGCTTGGTGTCATCTGCAAACTTGCTGAGGGTGCACTCAATCTCGCTGTCTAGGTCATTGGTGAAAACATTAAACAGCACCAGTCCCAGCACGGACCCCTGAGGGACACCACTCGTCACCAGTCTCCAGAGATACACAATTTCAAATCAGCAAAGGTTAACAAGGTGGCTCATAACAGGAGGAGAGAAGAGAACAATCTCTTTAGCTTTCTAATAACAGAACATGCAGAAGAAATCAAGCCGTGTTAGAAATACAAATACATGTACATGCCTTTGGAGAAACAATGGTCAAAGGTCCTTGCCCTTTTCTAACATCTTCATTTAGCAGCAACATCTTCCCTTAATTGCATTACGCATGCGATCTAATTTTCAGGCAGGCTAAGCATCTTAAGGCTAATTTCCCATTAGTTTTAAGTACAGCCATAAGTATTATATATCTAAAAATTATGCTTACGCAAACCCAAAGTTTCAAACTTTGCTTGTTCCAGCTGGCACACTCCAGCTTTCTCCAAAGTTTGACATCTTTTTCTCAGAATTAACCAGCACAACCAAGAGTCAAGTTTTTACATCTCAAGTTATGGATACTTAAGCACTCACAGAGAATTCTGAACTACCATAGATGTTGGTAATGATTCCAATAATATCAAAATTCTGCAATATTGTTACTTTCCTTTACACTGATATAGTACAAGCAATTTGTCCCATAACTGATACAAAGAGTTATACACACATTTTAAATTTTTGCCATTGGAGTAATAAATTGTAAAGCAGCGAAAATAATGTTTATTAGGAATAAGAAGTCTCTCGGAAATGAGCTCAGTCATTTATTCTAATTGTCACTCCTAGTCCTTGTCTGTTCATTCATACTGGTAGCCTGGTAAATATCCTCTTCCACAATTTCAACATTGAATCAAATTCCCTGTAATCAGAACCGCATGTTTTGGCAGAGACTTAACAAGATAAATGCACAGTGATGTTATTGAGGCTATTGTGAAGTTTTATAAATTAAGGCTCTCCTGGTAGTTATAAAATACAGAATATATATTCAGCAAGCACATGACTACATGTCTTGATCAGAGAGGTGGCAATCACTTCAAGTGTTTTATCATAGTGCTATGCTACAGAGTGTAAGTGTATTTAGGAAAATTTGTTTCACATGCACAGTGGCAGAAAAAGTTATTTGCTAGACAGATACTCTTCCCTGTCATACTCCTGTTACTGAGAAAAAAAATCGGTAGGAATGCCATTAATGTATTCTTCCGTAAGGAAAGATGTCAGCAGGTGCTGAATTACTGAAGTTTTAGGCCACCTCTACAAGTAATTCTTGCTTGCTTTTTTAAAAATATTAAAAGACAAAGTTGAGCAAATATGCAACTGTTCACCAGAGGAATTAATGATATTCCATGCTGTTCCATAAGACAAACTAATCTGACCGCAAACATTCTGTCTATTCTAGATAGATGCTAACTTTCCGCATTACATATGTCCTATAAATTACTAGAGTGAACAGATAAGGAATAGAGCATATTCAGAAGCACTTGCACACTTTTCAAATACATATACCAATGAACAGAATTTTGCACACTATGGATGCCCAACATTTTGAGTATATATTGTAGACATAAAGAACTTAAGAAAATTCTCAAAATGGTCTTTCTGTAAATCTAGAATTTTCAATGTTTTAGAATCTTGCAATAGTATTTTGCTTCCTTTTTTTCGTCTTCTCATGAGGCTTAGCCCTCAATCACAGGTTCTTTGTTTTCCACTGATGATGAGTAATGGATGAAGTCTATTAAAACCCAATCTGTACCAGCACAATGTATTTCTAAAATGTCATGCCAATGATAAATAGAAATAAGGTGCAAAAACACTAAAACCCCTAAATTTTATTCAAGTCATTGTAGCTAGGTCCTTAACAAAGCAAACTGAGAGCAACATCAAACCCTCTACGCACTTCAGCAGATTTTGGATAAAGCCCTGAACCTCTTATAAATTGGGAATCTTAGTTTATCTCAATATTTTTCCTATTGAAAACGAATGTGCAGAACATCTAGAGTACATATGAATCCTGCATACTTTCCAGGCTTTCATGATGCCATTTATATAGTCAAGTACAGTCAAACTGCACGAAAAGTACCAAACTCATTAGTAACCAAGTTTGATATCAAGTTACAAGTAAAATTTAAAATAAATGAAATTCTTAAAGAATTAATGTTTTTAATACAGTTCTAATATACCTTAATGAAGAGCACATTATTACTTAAAAAAAAGATAGATTTGGCATATTAGATAGCAATGTTATAAATAAATTGTTTCTGGTTCATGTCTTAGTAGTAAAGACATTGACAAATATTCAAAACACAAAAGCAAGTTTAATAATAAAAAAGGATTCTTTCTTCTCATTCAACCAAAAGGAATGCAACTGAAAATTGCAGATAAAAATGCAACTATTTGCTCAAGCAGTTGCAAGAACTGTTCTGTTTCTACTTTTCACTAACCAACCAAATGAGGAGGAAAACTTGTGTGAGCAACAGACCATTGGTAAGCACATCCAAGAAAGCCATAGTTTAAGTTTACTTATTCACAACTTACACAGAAAATATTTTAAAGTGCTTTTCTTTGCAGTAAGTCTGCCACTGCAACAATTCATGTCCACAATTTGATAATTAGAAATTATGTTACCTTTTCACATAAATATAAAAGGAACATGGAACTGTATTCACTGCATCCACATAAGTTTTCCTGAGTATCAGGAAAAGATCAACTATTGGGCTATATTCCCCTTTCCTGTCTTTCACATAAGAGCAGATATCAGTAATATTAAAAAAAAAAAAAAAAAAAAAAAAAAAACCACACCACAAAATTAATGCTGTACAGACAGTACTTTTACATGTCATTTCTCACCATCATTAATAAGTGTGCCAAGCCTGAAGAGTCAGAAATGTACTTAAAAATTAAAGGGATATTCACTAGGTGCCTTCATTTCAATCTGTACCGCAGATATAAGTCCAAAAAAGAAAAAAGAAAAAAAAAAAAAGTTGGAGAATGTAGACATTCAAGTGTCACATTGTTGCAAACACAAAAGACCTCATCATTCAGATACCAAATATTTTTTTGGAACTGCCTTATTTTGTAGTTACCTGACAGAAACTCAAAAAAGAAAATTCTGGGGTACATCACATTCCAGCTTTTGCTGCAATAGTCTAGATGTAAAAATGCTTGAGGAAAGACTGAACTTTTAAAACTCAAAGCTTTTTAAATACATGATATGTACCCCTTAATATTACCCTTTGCTGCCTATCCACACAGGCAGCAACAGTAATTTTAGAGAAGACTACTACCAAATCAAGGGCAAGTAAACAGCACTGGGGACAAGGATGAAGTCCATAGAGGCCCAGCTGGTCTTCTAGATTCTGACAGTGATGGAAAAGGCTTGCAAAGGACCAGGTGGATCCTGTGGATCAATAACTGGTTGCCCAGCAGGTGCCACTGACAGATTTGGGTTTTACAATCATGGGACTGTCTCTAATGATCAAGGACTGCTGGGAGAGATGAAATCCACCTGACAGAGTGGGACAAGATCAGCCTGGTGAGGAAATGGTGGATGGGGTGGAAAGCAAACAGTGCATGGTGATAGGAACAAGAGAAAACGCAGGATGAAAAGAATACTACAGAGCAACCTACAAAACAAGCAGGAGGAACCAGAGCTCAACAGAACTGCAACATCATTAGAGTAACAGATGTGGTGGGGTGGGATATTGATGCTCCAAAGAATTTCTGCATTACCAGACTGGTGTCTGGGTTTTGAGAGTGTGTAGCCAGTGACAGCAGAGTGGAAGAATTTGTGAGAGCCAGAAAGACAAAAATAATCACACTTGTCAACAAGTTAGGTTTCCACAAACATTTGTGCATCTGAATTTGATTGATTAGTCAATGCTTTTGAACAAATTTGTAACTGTTCAGTATTGTTAGCTTTTCTTCCCATTAGCTAGTCTTATTTTTCATTGTCTTTTACTGGCTGAAAGGTGGGTCTTTTCCTGTATTTTTCAGCTACCTGCAAACACTTCATAAATTATTCAAAATTCTACAAAAATCATCATTCAGAGTGAGAGGAATTTTAAAAAGCTTCAGAAATCTTGTTCAGAGCTAAGTACCTGTGGCTGAAACAAAAGTGGAAAAATTTTGTGGCTGCTAATAATCCACAAATAAAAGAAATACAAACAGCCTGGGACAGTATATTAAAGTTTGCCCTGCCATCCTATCCTTGCAGGGTATAATTGTTCTGAAACAGAGAATCCAGGAATCAAGGAACAGTATAGGATTTCAATGTTCCAACTATAGGCAGGCTAAAGCACAAATCCCTAAATTCAGACCCGGCTGAAGCAGAATATGCTATGAACACGCCCAGTGACACATAGTGAAGGTTTTCAGTGAGCTACTGCAGTAAGCCACAACAGTTTGTCTGTCAAGCAGCATTTCTGGTCATTAATATCCTCAAAATTGAAATAGAGTATGTATATGCATACTGAAGAAGGAATTACTGATCTAGTTAAAGGTGTCCCTGCTCACTGCAGGGGGGTTGGGCTAGATGACCTCTGAAGGTCCCTTCCAAACCAAAACATTCTATGTTTCTATGATTAATATTGAATTGTTGTACTCCCTGGACAATGCAGTCATAAGCATGCTTTTAAAGTATTAAACTTTTAAAATCCAGCCCTCAAAATACGCTATTTGGATAATCAACACAATCCTATGGATGAGTATATATGAAGTTGCTGTTCATTAACTGATCTCTAATGAAATTATACTGAGACCTTTAAATTATTAAAATATGCCATTTCAGTCAGAAACTTTTACCCAAAATCTGTGTTAAGATGTATCACTTACCTGATAAACATGGAATGCATTAGCAGCTTTTCCACGCAGAAAGACTGAGGGAATCCAAACATTAATAAGAGCACGATTTGATCTGAGGAGGAGAGTAAAAAACTTAAAATATGGAATCGTATCTATGTATAAGAATTGCAAAGCAACTACCTCCAGTGATTTAGATAATGATTAAAGTGATCTACAAAGCAACTTAACATTTCAAATGGAGTATCAGAAAAATTGTAGTTCTGCCTGAACCTTTTATACTTGCTGTATCTAAAAGTGTTCCCTAAAATTAACATAAGTGAAAAAGAGCACTGAAATAATTCCCCTTGTGGGTTTTTTGGGGTTTCTGGTTTTTTACAGAGTGCATTTGACAACATTTGATTACACACATGAAATTTGTTTCAAGTATTCATTTCAAGTCAACATTTTGGTCCGCAAAACTCAGCAAAAAAAAATGAGCTCATTAAATAACAGAAGAGCACTGCACAATTATGGAGAAGCCATTTCCATCCACTCTTTGTAATTCACCTCCAAACTTCTATGAGTCAAAGATATCAGCTACATTTTCACCCCCTCATCCACAAAAAGCTAGATTCATTAGTCTGACTAATAAAGGCAAAACTCCAAATCACAACAATCTAGAATGATCTGGGATGACCAGCTGAGTTATTTGTGGGTTTTTCTGCAGTACTATTTGTATGCATTGACTAGGAGTTATTCTGTAAAAAAGAGAAAATCCATCACATTATGAATAGCATCTAGCATCTATCAAACCCAAAGCAACAGAAAAAGGTAAAGTTTTGGTGCTTTGTTAGAATACCAAGACCTAGTGCACTGAAAGAGCACTCCAAAAGAGTCTTCATAAACGTAAACTCCTTGCATTCAACGTTATTAAAAACTACACTAGGGCATGGACTGTGCAGCTCTCCATACTTTCTAACAATGGAACACCAGAGCTGACAATTCAGTTATTGGAAAAAATATCGGAAAAGCAAATTACTGAATCTGTTTGCTTATTGTTCTTTCCCACAAAGACAATATGAAGAGAAAAATATGTGTATTATGAAACTTACATTTCAAAATCTGACAAACTCTGATCTTCAGATGTTTGACTCAAATCTCCAGGGACCTATATTTACAAAACAGAAATAATTCCCACACACTGGTTATTATGCTTGCTATTAAGAAAGCATAAGATTATAAAGAAATTACAATTTAGCATTCAATTTTTTAAATGCCAATAAAAACTATTACTGAGAAACAATAAAAGAAAAATATCATGCAATAGGATTAAGAACATATCACCCTTGCAAGGTCTTCACGTTAGAATTTGCTATAGTTTCATAAAGAAACAAATTGGGTTTGTAAAAGCATGTAATTTTGAAAGGTATAGAAAATCCAGAAAAAAAGCAACATTATTAGGCCTTTATCAGTGAAGTATGCTAAAACAAAGTACATTGTGTGTATAAACAATTTATGGGAAGAGATGAAGCACATAAAACCTAGTGATCACCTCTTTTTACAACCAATATTCCATTAAGAGAAAGACACATGATCATTTTATTTTAGCTGTGTTCTTACAAAACATATAGCTACAAAAGTACATAAAGATAGCAACGATGGACTAACACCTGCAGAATCAAAATAAGTAGCAGTTGTGAGAAAAAAAAGATTGAAAGAGTACTTAGAACTGAAACAGCAATAGCTTTTTACCTTACTTTAAACACAAAAAGATATCTTCTTACCTTTTAAATACTGTAAAATGTAAAGCGTAACCCAGAATAGTTAGCATGTTTTGATGAAGAAAGCCCGCTAAAAGTTTTGAACTTCTAAAGACGGCTTCTACTTTAGTTAAATATTGGTTCAGTGTATCTCTATAATGTATGTTGCATGCATATTACTATTTTTCAGAATATTTCCTGCCTAAGAAACTTAAATATGTATCATTGCTTACTGTAAAGCGATGTTTTGCCAGATCAGCTCAAGACCTCCCAATACACAAGAGAAAACTGAATTTTGCCTTCCCAAGGTTAAAGGGATATGGCTTGGCAAAAATTAAGTCATTCCTGACAGAGAAAGGAAAAGAGGAAGAGTCGTGCAGAGCCAAGACAGCTCCACAGCATACGCACAGGGCATATAGTCTGAGTCCTGAACACCTCTGATGCCCTTTTTTGGAGGAATGAGGTGGGAAGGGCCAGTATGACCTCTCTCTCAATTACCACCATCAGCTGTTGTCTGTTCACAGTCCAGTCCACCTGCCAGTGGCAGAACACAGCCTGGCTTTCCAGGGCTCTTGTGCCAGAGAACAGACATTTTTCTATCTTGCCTACAAACTGCACCCTCTCTTTGCCTATATCTGAAGTGGCAAATCCTACCACCAGATATATACAGTCACTTTAATTAACTTCAGTAAAAGTTTTGCGTAACAACCTCAAAAATGGAGTGTGGACTTTGGAAATAAGGATAACATTAATGAGTTCCAGTGCTTGCACATCTATGTTGAAACAGATCAGTTACTGATTTTGAGATGGTAGTTGAAGTGTTGTTCATTGTAATACAAAACACAGTAATGGAGACATTACATCGATGTACTTCCTCATACCCTTGAAAAGAACATACTTTTTGTTTTAATGTCCCTCTGTTGCAGAAGTTGTGAAACCCAATAACCAGAAATTTGGAAAGATCACTGTGAACAATTCATTTATAAATTACAGCCATTAAAACTGATTATCAGCATTAAAGGAAAGGAGAAGACAGTGAAAAATCACAGAAGCTGTTTTTATAACACACCCTAAATTATATACTATTTTAATAATAAAATGTTAAGAACTTGGCTGATATTTTCAAACAAGTCAAAGGGGGCTCAAATATTCATATCCCACAATTTTTGGCAGTTACACACTTTACCAATTTTGAAAGTTCTAATTAAAGTCTACTAAGTAACAGACTATCAGCACAGTGTTTTGTTTACTAATATAGAATTAAAACATATCCACTTCTTAAGATAATGCAGAAGTCTTCAGGACTGTATTCAATTCACAGTTTCATTTTGGACAATAGCAACTAATAACAACCAGCATTTAGCTAGCCCGTAAAAATATAGTACCACTTCCACTCTTACAAGTTTTTAGGAATTAGTTTTTACTTGGTATCTGATAGATTAAAATATAGTATCGATACCTAACTACTGGATTAGGATACGGAGATACGTGGTTAAAAACAAAATCTCTGAACAGGGACATACAGCCCAAAATCTCTGAGTAAGAAAGCAGAGCTGTAATATGCGTGTGATTTATCACTGTCATCTCTTAACTTACCAGCGTGATTTTTTCCATTTAAAAGGCTGAAAATTATAGGTGAAATCCTGCTTCACTAATGCGCACAGAACTGTCATTAGCCACTTTAGATAAATGTTATGATAAAATAGGCATCAATGCTTCCAGTGCAAACAAAAAAGTAAGGAGCAATACCACGTAACCATATGAACAAAAACTATCCAAATATGCCTCCCTCAGAAGATGGACAACTATTAGGAACATCCTTGACCCCTTCTGTTTCCTCCCTGCTCATTTTCAAATTTCAATTCGATCTTTTCTTTTAACACAAAAAGCCGAAGTGAAGCAATAGTTGGCAGAAAACAATTTTATTGTCTGAATATATCAATTTTACATTCAATTCCACTAAAGAGAATCAAACACTACAAAAAATACCTAGTAATGTGTTCTTGACAGATGTGTTATTAGCTGTTATTTCTTATAAGCTAATATATATTTTATTTCATCACGAGTAATGGTTTTAAGCTTATTCCAGAGTGGCATTCTACACTGTAACAAACAAACACTTACCGGCCCTCTCAAATCAATTAGTTCTTGTCTCATCTGGGACACAAGAGCTTCTTTAGCCATCAGAGCACGGTGCAGCCTCTCATTGAATTCAATCAGTTCCCCGTGCATTTCAGCTACCTGAAAAACAAAGACAAGAAAAAATTGTGTTCTAAACTGAAAAAAACCCCACACTATGTAATATCTTACATGGGTATCAGCTTTATTTATATTTTTTATTTTACCATACTCTTGAAGTGGTGCATCTCATTGCTAATGCATTAGTTTGAACTGACCATTAAGAACAGACACTGTTATAATAATTTTGACTTATGCTTTGAAATGTAGGTTTTGATATTGAATTCAACAGGACAAAATACAACTCTATGTATATTTTTTTTTCCTATCAGAAGAGATCCTATGGCAACATACTCCAATAAAGCACCTGTTAACTTTTGTTCTCAGTTTAATTCTTTGATGGACACAGCACTCAACAGTTACAAACTAATCACAGTATTTTGAACTGGGAATAATGGGAAATGCACAAACGGCATTAAGCTTTGTCAATAATTCATGAGTAATATATTCTGCACTATTATTTGGAGTTTTAATAGGACTGGAGCTAGAATTCCATTCATCCCAGGCAAATCTGTGAGAGATCGAAGGAGCATAAATACCACAGTTATGCTGTGGTACAAGTTTTTGTGCATAGGTAAATAGTGTGGCCTCAAGCATGGCCTCTTTGGACACGAAGTCTAGTTATGTATGTGCCCTCCGTTTTTGAGGAAAAGTGTCAGGAAAACACCAACTGATGCAGGACATTTATGAAAGTGAACAAAGAAGGATGAATGACAACGATGAAGAGTGTATCAATTTCCAGAGCAAACTATGTTTAAGTTGGTTCCCTGCTAAGAGAAGCAAGAAACAGTAAAACTCAAATCAAGGTTAAAGATGATACTGAGCTCTTGAAATTTTTTTACACATAAGTGTAAGCCTACAGCTTAAGGGTGAAGAACTCCAAAAGGAAACGGGTTCCCAAATAGCAAAGGTCTAAACAGTAGCAGTAACATGTTATCATCAAGAGAATGTGATGAGGAAACTAGCAGAAACAGGGAGCAAGGCTAAAAGAAACTGAGTTCAGCAAGATTTTTAGCTATTCCTATCAGAACCATTATACAATAAAACTGAATGAAAGTTTCAATTATGATGGACGACCCATCAGCACATGATATATCTGGCAAGGGAGTTGTCTTGAACTGATAATGCCACTTGTAGACTTAAAGCAAAGAAACTTGAGCCAAAAAGGGTTTGTAGAATTATTTTCAAGGAAAAAGACAGACTCTTCAGAAAACCCCACTGTTTCCAAGTAAATCTCCCTATATGACTCCTGCATTGAAGAAAAGGTGTACTGATGAGGGCCACTATCAGAGGTGGAGCACCAGATGAGCTGTCCCAGGACAGCACAAGAAAAGCTACAATTTTAACAGGAGTAGTTAGATGAAAACAGCAGCAGTGACTCGTTGGCCCCTCTAGTGGGCATAGCAGGCTACCACAACAATGTTGGTTAACACGTTTTTCAGGTTACAGCAACTCTTGAAATGTCTCCTCGTACAGTCATCCAAAGCTAGGAGAATAGTAGAGGCAATGGGGTAACATTATGAAAGCACAGATGAATAAGATGAATATCAATCCATCACCTTCAACGATAACACAGGGACTTGGACTAATGCCAAATCTCTTAAGAGTTCATAGTTTCCCTTCTGGAGGCAGTTCACTACTGCCTATGCTTTCCTTTTCTTGAATTACCACTCTGCCTTCTCCCCAGGGAAGTTCCCCAAGATAAACCAATCTAATTCAATTTAATTTAGTGCTTTGTTCCAGACAACCTGTACCCTTCACATAATCAAAGCAAACAGAAAAAAACAGCTTCAATTTGACAAGCAAGGAGCTGCCATCATTGATTAAAAATAAAAAATAAAAATAATTATACCTGAGTTGAATTTCAAGTTTAACTCTTTTCCAGTTTCGTTTTATATTAGGAGTCCTTCAAATCCAGTAATTCATCAGTGTGGCATGTATGCAAAAAGAGCTAAACTAAGCCCAGATACTATTTGTCTAGAGTGATATCTCTCATTAATTCTGAATTTACAAACTATTCTGAAACACTCAGCAAATTACAAGATAAAACCCAGCAGCAGTAATTGAACTGACAACAAACTTCCCTTGTAATGGGATTATCAGGAAGTACAAAAGCTAAAGATTTCAGAGTGATTATTTAAACCCAAACAGGCAAACATTTTTATTTGTTTGCCTTGGGACTGATTATGTAAGCAGTTTTAGATTAATATTGATGCTTTATCTTACACATCACAATACAAAAAGCTTGCAACACATCTGAGTTACCATTTAGTTTCACTCCTCACTTTCAGAAGCGCAAAGGTTTAATGTAGCTTTAATATAGTTTCAACAATCAAAAGCATTATTATCATTTATAGTGTACTAAAGCAGCTTTCATTTACTGCTTTTGTTTTTGTTCTTGTCAAGCATTTCTATTGCACCTTATCCCATTAGAAAAACTAACTTCCCAGGCTCCTAGTTAAACTCTTTTCTGGCTCCTCCTGATAAAAATCTGAACATGTTACCTCCATGTTATCAGTTAATGACAGCATGTATTCATATCTCAATTATTCATTCAAGATCAGCCTTGATAAAAAAGGCTTTGACTTCAAACACTTGTTAGTAATTAGTAAGCTCATTGTTGTGAAAACAAGGGATATCTAAATCCATATGAACTTCTGAGTTATGACTAATATAGTAGATGCCACTTAGCAAGCAGTTTTGCTTCATAAATTACAAACGTTCATGCACCAAACAAAATTGCCAACTTTACTACATACAGTAATAACATAATGTCATTAACTCTGGATACATTATTTTCCATACTGGCGAGTAAGTGAGTGGTGTAATATTTAAGAATATCACAAGCTGCTTTGATTCAGGTTAGTATTAGCAGGTAATTGCTAATTACAGGGAGTCTGGGCTGGGAGGCAGAACTTCCATGTATTTCATATAAAAAAGATGCAGTATGCCACTAGTTACAAAAGCAGAGGAAAAAACACAGTGCTGATAGTTGGTTGATTGGTTATCAAAAGCAATATAGAAATTTATGAATGGATGCAAAACTCAGTAGTTTACATACTTGAAATCATGTTTGATTTTTCAGGGCCTGTCTCTATCAGAAGAACAAAATCCAAACTATCTGATGTAATATCTGACTCTTTTCTCTTTCTCTAATTTGGATGTCCTTGAAATAACTTTCTATTTGCAGACTCGATTAATATGTAAATTCAACAGCTCTCTCAAAGCACTGGAAGTAATACAAAAATCTATAAGTGTCCGTAGCAAAGTTAAACAATAAAAAGAAAATTTAACAGCAAATAAAACAGCAAATCACTTGTTACGTATTATCAAAAAGACAATTTGGCAGGTATGCTACCTGTGACAAATCACTCTTACTAGTAATTAAGTTACTTCAATACTTTTTCCTCTCAAAGAAAATGTATTACCATCACAGCAAACCAAAAGGAACAAGGAGAAATACTTCTGAATAACAATATTAATTTAGGTTCCTCTAATTTTTCCTGCACCAAGGTCTGCTAAAAACAATAAAGAGGTCTCCTTATAATTATATCCTTTCAGTTACATTTTATGTCATCACATCTTCCTTTATTCATTCCACACTGAAGCTTAAGCAGTAATTTTCACTACTGGGACTTCAATCATCTTCACAGTTGTTTTTCTCCATGACAATATGTTTAAAGCAGAAAATTAAAGTACAAATGAGCTAAGTTTCACTTGGCCAGAGTATCATTCAGATTTAGTCCTGGTCATATCAGAAAGCATGCTTGAAAAGCCAAAATCCTTATCATGAAGGGGAAGTGAGGCTAACATAAAATATTTAGACTCCACACTGACAGAATTCTAAAGATCTGTTGTCAAAAGAAAATCTAAGTCTTCTCCTGCTGCCTGACAGTACTGCAGCTATACTGTCCAGCATGACCACACTAAAGAGCAGTCTCCAGAAAAATAACAAAGGTAAACATCACTTCATGTTCCACAGCAAAGGACTAAGCTGTTAACTTAAGACATGCTAAGAATGTTTCACTAAGCATATGAATAATACAATCTGTCTTGGAAGGACATGCGCAAAAAGAAAAAAAGAATAAGGTCTTTTAAAAGTGTGTTTTAGTGGAACTCAGATTTATTTTTTTTTAATAGGATTTGTAGCTAAAATGTGTACGTTTTGGCACAAGCCACATCTGAATTAATGAGTTTTTAGTAGGTATAGGCATTTTTCCCCAATTGTCACAAAATGCAAAACAACGTATTTACCAAGAAACTCTAGACAGAACTGGAAGTTGCTTCCTTATGCTCTCAGTGGAAGCAAGGGTGTATTTTTTCCATGAGAAGATGCCCTTCTTCAAAAATTAACATTCTTCTACACTTTCCCCCAACAGAAATAAAGCAAAAGGTCTTCAAAAAAGATCAGGTATCCTACTAAATATTAATAATTTCTTTTTTTCTACAAGTGAAAAAGAAAATTATAAATGGCAGACAGTTCAGACAAATCTATTGATATAGCCATAAAATGCTTAGTCATTGCTTTCTTTTCCAAAACTGCCATTTTGTATTCTTGACATTTCCATCTGCAAGCAAGTTATATGGTTCAAGGAAGACTGAAAGATTCATTTAAGAATAGGGTTGGGGTTTGGTTGTTTTGGTTTGGGGTTTTTTTTTATTTTGTTTTGTGGTGTGGATTTTTGTTTGTTTGTTTACTACAGCAACCTAAGGTTAGCACAATTCACAATTAACCAAAACCAACAATTAGAAAATAAGCTGTGGTTTTCAACCCAAAATACATCAGGAATTATGCAAGTTAGATGAACTATATATTAATGTTTGTGACATTTCACAGTCTTTGTCAATTGTGTACAGTACTACCAGTGTTTACAGAGATTAATCCTGACACACAAAAAAGCACTAACACATTGAACAGGAAAAAAACTGCTCTGGCAAGACCTGTGCCTGGCCAGGGAAAATGAGAAGTAACCAGCAAAAGCAAAAATCAGCTACACAGGAGT